AGGAGCACACCAGTGCTGCTATTTGACATACACCTTCTCATTACAGATCTCATACAGAGGGCCATGCCCACACCACAGCGCCAGGGAGGCAGGCAGAGGTGTGTGTGCAATCATTTCTGAACTTCAGTCCTTCCCACATATACTACCTATATGCATATGGCTCATTCAGACAGACAAAATGTGTCACCTCCTCTCCACTTGCCTGGCAGTCCACAGGGTAAGATATGGAACTTGGCTATTACTAGACACACGGTTACCATGCAAGGTTTTTGTGTTAATTCACCACGGAGAAGCTGCAACATCAATCTTGGTGTCAAGCTTATTCCATGGGGCTTGGCTGTATCTAGCTCTACACAGGTGCAGAACAGGAGAAGGAAGCACACATGGAATTCTCAGCATTGCCCTGGCTGTTTCAGAAGGGTTGTACCGCAGGCAGAGCCAGCTCTCCCACGTCTCCATCACTGTTCTGCAGCCATTCTCCTCTGGTCAAGGTCTTTCACCCAGTTTTCTCGTTCAAACACCTGTAAACTCCTCCTAAGAATGAAAACTGGGCTGTATCCAGCAGCAATTGTATAAATCCTACCAGATTAACATTCACAGAAGCTGCTACATAAACCAAATTGCTTTTACAAGTTAAATGTTAAGATGAATGACTGGTAAAGCATTCTACATGCTGGAAGGTGCTCATAAAATATATAAAACCATTTTTATAACTTGTTTTAAAATTATATTTTAGTTCTCAGATCTAATTTCTTCTGCTTCGCAATCCATAACATTTCACACTACTGTATTGGAAACAATTCAGTCAAGAAGTGGCAAAATGTCTCTTTTGAAAGCAGAAAAAGAACAAGACAGTCAAGAGATCACAAAGCTAGTAATTTGGAAGAAAAAAAGCAAACACATCAGTGTTCTGATTCTTCATTTTGAAGATGTGATCAACTCAAGTGAATGTATTGGGAAAATTAAGAAAAAGGTAGACCAACTTACTGCCCAGACCATCTGCACTGCACACACTGTCAATAAGGAAATAAAAAAATTCATATTTAATTTATGTCTACTATCAGCTGCTTTTCCCATTGAAAATCTTAATGCTTTGTAGCCATAAAATTTCACAAAGAGTAACTAACTAAAAAGATATGAAAATACTAGACCATCAGCCAGGACAATGACAGTCTATTAAGATAAATTTACTCTGTTGACTATCTAGACAAATTTTCTCTGTATGTCCATTTAAATTAATTATTTGCATTGCATAAGCTCTTAGTCTTCTAAAAGACACAAGGAAAATACTATATATAACATTGTCACAGCATAATGGTCCCTCCTGCCTGACAAACATTAGGAGACAAAAAAAGTTACTGAAAAATGAACATTGAGATGACATTACCAAGCTTACATTCAAAGTGGGAGGCAATTAAGACTACAAAAATGTTCTCTTCCATTATTTCCATTATACCAGAGGAAGATGAAGTAAATAAATATGAAGATGGATGGTGATTGTTGATGCACAGTGACAGCTACTCACTATGGTACATTGAAGAACTATGTTCTACCAGAGCAGATTTTATACAATGACAGGCAAATCTGTAAAGATCAGGTAGTCTAAAAATCTGGAGTACAGTTTTGAGTTGCTTTGGTCTTTTTTTTTTAATTTAAGAAGTTGTGATGAAACTAAACTTCATCTGTTGCTTAATAAAACAAACACATTTTCTGGTTTACAGGAGATAGCTTGATAAACTATGTCAAAAGATTTTCAAAAGGGGCCTTTACACTAGTGTCCCTGACACTACAGATACTCAGGCTGAAGTACCACCACTTTGCCTGTCTTTAGAGGTACAGAAGACACTGGTTTTAGAGCATTTGCTTCAGACTTGACCTCTTTTGAGGTCAACAACAATATTGATAAAAATTAGTACTTCACTTTATGATAGTAACTTATGTAAGTGCTCAACTCCAATTTCCAAACTTTAAAGAGGAGGGCAATTTAACCTCATGTCCAAATATTAGCTGTTCTAGCCACTCAGCAAATCTCATTCCCTTGAAACTCCCTTGAAAACCCGATCTTGTGTGCCATCAGGAACTCTCTCCTTGGACACAGTCAAGAGGCACCTGGACATGGTGCTACTTGAGCAGGGGAGTTGGACCAGCTGTCCTCCAGAGGTGCCTTCCAACCTCAGCCATTAGGCCCTTCAGTGAACTGCAATGTTACAGCTGCCTCCTGTACTTCTTCACTTCTACAGGGTATCTTCCATTGTGATAGCCCTCTATTTTAAGGCTTACAAAGACAGACAGTGCTTTCAACTTGCTCACCTAGATTCTGCCTGAACTTTAGGAGCTTAATGAATTAGTCCTTCTAAAGCGAATCTAGGTTCCCTATACACTCAATGGAGGAGCCTCTTTCACAGAAGACCCAAGACAAATGCTGCCTTCTTGAGCTAGGTAATGAACCATTAACGAGTGATTAGCTTTGCTATCAGTCCTGCATTAACGCTCCAGTTTCTGCCCTATCCAGAGGAATGGGCAGGAGGAATCCTAGAGGTTCTCTGGATGTTGGGAGCTTTCTGAAGTGTTTTAGGTTACATTGCATTAAACAGAGCAGACATAGAAACATTGACCTTACCCTCAGCAAGCTCACAGTCCTACCAAATGGCTGTACATCCAGAAAATATTAAATAGGAGACATGCCAAACAAAATAAAACACAAAAAAGCATTCTCCATCCTGTATTGCTAGTATCTAAAATGTAAGCTTAGTAGAAATTAGTCAACCTTGAGTACTGAAATTATACAAAGTCTACATTTAGCAACCTATTTTCACACTTGCAGGGCACAATTGTCTGTCATAGTCAAGGCAGCTGAACTCAGTAAAACACTCTTGCTTAATAGAATGTCATTTATCTGCAAATACACTTTAAAATAACAGATTCTCAACTACTGCAAATTGATTTTACTTCATTTCTTCCACATGTCATTGTGCCACTGAGGATAACTCCTTTGATATTAATGGTAATGAAGATGCATTGTATCTGACAGCCCTAACAACATGTTTAATAGAACATTTTAACTTTAAGTAGATGAATTATCATAAGGGAACACTTTTTCAGATTCTACTGTTTCTGAACACAGTTCTGTATAAGTGAAATTATCCTACTTAAAAGTTATTTCCACTTTTATATTTTTTTCTATTTTGACAGTTTTATTTTGGGAAGATAACATTCTGACATACTGCAAATTATTCTTCCAAAACAATACAGCTTATCCTTTTGTATCTGCTTTAATCAAATTTGTCTCTATAGCCTCCTGTTTCTGCTAAGTAATTCTGGCAATTAATCATGTTAACTTATCCTAAAATGACAATCCTAAGGTGTCATTCACAAAAAGAAACAATACAAACATACTGTTTTGAACTGCTACTGCACACCACAGTGAGAAATTTATTCAGATTCTATTGGACATATTTTGTAATCAGAAACTGCTGCTTCCACAGAACAACAGGCGTTTTGCCAGTGACAGGGGTCAGACCTTACTTCTTCCCTGCAATCTGACTTTGAACTTAGAAGATTCTCAAGGCATGTGCACCCACCAAACTCCAATGCTGCCCTCATTTCCTACAAGGAAACTCTGTTTCTTGAGTTTCACTTTTATTCCAGCTCTCTCTCATACAATTTATTTGCATAAGGAGAATACCTACTTATCTAGGAGGTAGATCTTAATTATAATTGCATAGGCAGAGAATGTTTTGGAAAAGAATACATGCTGCTGTTTTAAAGCAAATTAAACTGTAACTACAAGTTCAACCCTTTTGTTTCAGGAAGTAACACATATAGGGTTACTGCAGCTTGACAAATACATTAATACGGAAAAAAAATAAAAACCTAGTTAAAAATGAAACAAAAATTACCATCAATGGCACACAGTGCTGTGGCTGCCTTTTCAAACAAGACATTCTCCATTATTTTTAGCACAAACAGCACAACAACCAGCATCTTACCAATTTTCAGCTTCTAGACCAAATACCAGTTTTGAGAGGTGATCTCTAACTACCCGCTTTGCAGCACCGCTCTTTTTTTTTTAAGCGAAGTGTACAGCAAGAAATAATGTTAAGATGTTACTTCTGTTGACCCATAACTACCACTCGAACAGCACAACAGAGAGTGAGAAATGACCTTCAGGAATGTAGAACTTAAAATGTTAAAATAGAAATTGTCAGTTCATTTAGTGACAGAACAAGCCTTTAAGACCAATGTTAACACAATCCTTGCTTGCAAAGCAAGAGCCATTAAACAGAGATTAGAAAGGTGAAATGCTGCAACCAACTCCTGACATCTGAAACCCGTTTCAAACAGCTAATAATCCAGTCCATTCTTCAGAATTTATGTTGACATTTACTTTTGCTCACCACATTTACCTCCTGCTTGTAAGATTAGCAACATGCACATTACATATCAGCAGCTCTTGGGTCCAGCCCTCAAGTCTTATGCTTCTTTTTTCAAATGCCACTGAAGCACAGGCTCAGATAGCATCAGACTAGAGAGTTAAACGCTGCAATTATGTTTAGCATTGTGCATGTTGGGTGGGGTGTGGTGTGCCTGAAAACTCTAACACTTCATCAGTTATTTAGCAACTCGTTGTGTTATAGTTCCTTTTGGAAGACTGTTTTCCATATATAGTATGAGGATATAATTCAGAGATACCCACCAACCCTTTTATAGAACTTAGCTTAGAGGGACTTGCATATCATTTGAGGTAAAACAAGTGAAAATACATTCTCTTCTAGTACAGGTACAAGCACTCCAGCCAGGAGGGTGGAAGGAACTGCTACACCTGTAATCAGTGACTGCTCAGAGAGAGACAGACAGACTGGCTTCTCTCTCCAGGCCCAGTTTATATTGCTAATTACTGATCTGCATCCTCTGTGAGCTCCAACTACTAGTAACTGTTCATTTTCAGATTAAAAAACGGCACTTTGCTGTAATGTTCATTAGTCTGTGCATATATTTACCTGTACATCGTTGGTGTTCATTCTTGTTCCCTCCTTCCCAACGAAGATGTCATCTATGTCAACCAGAATATACCTATCCAAGGAGAGTCTGAGCTTCTTTCCAGACAGGAAAGAGATGGCATCTATGAAAATCAGCTTGTGCAGCCAAAAATTCAAGTTATTGCCAAAAAGGACTCGTTGAATCCCATCGTGGAGCCCCAGGTCATGAATTACTGTGGCATGGAGAGCACTTTTAGCAGCAGGTGGTGAAAGGTTTTCTGGTGTCTTTACTTTTGCAAATATCACTGGTTGATAAGCTGTATGATTAATCTGGAAAACCGCCCAGTCATTTCCAAGCAAGGGACCTTTCTCAAGCTTAGAAGACTTAGTCACATGGAGCAGTGGGGAATGAGGGTTAATGCAACAGTCCTTAATACCCAGATTGCTGTGGACATGGAAAGGAAAGCCCTTCAACTGAAAGCTCTGCAAGCTGTTCTCAGTGCCTTTGTGGAATCCAATAACACCTACACCATATTCTATACAGTACTTATCTAGAAGACCTCTGTTCCAAGAGTCCATATTCACATACTTTAGAATATTTTCATACACTATGAGAGCATATTTGCCTTTATTTTTGTCTATGAGCACAGGGAGGTCACCTTTTCCAGGTGCAATCTCAATGTGAAACTGAAATCTGCTAGATTCTAATATGGTTATTATATCTTGGCCTAATGCTGAGTACTGACTTTCCACAAACACCAGCACTACAAGATCTGTCCTCAGGGGATCAACAGGCTTCATGGTCTTCATCTCCATCAGCTTGTATGGTAACAGTTGAAGATCACCACATTCCACTTCTGAAGAGACTTCAGGAAGCTCATTTTCCTGTTTGTAGCCAGTATACAAGTAGTACGCAGAAATAACTATGCTCACCATACAAAAAGTGGCCAGCAAAATAACTGTTCTTTGAAAGTGTCTGTGAAGTTTCATGATAAAACTCATGTTGTTTACTTGCCTTAGATTGTTCTCGACAGCAGTGTTAAAAACAAACAAATTCTCAACAACTCGTTCCAGTCCTCTGAAATATTTATGTCACCATTGCAGCACACACATCTATCTTCCACAAAGCTTTACAGAAGGTATAATCTAGAAGAAAAGAAAATCAGAGATTTAACTGAGGCATCACACTTGTGAAGTACTGTAATGCTTAAACTAAAGGTGAGCACAGAAATCGCTCCCAAACAGAGGTTTGGGAATGAACAGCTCAAAACATTGACAGTTTCTTTTTGAAATTACAAATTACTAGTGTTACTTCTTCCTGCTCCACTAGATGTTATGTGCATTTGAATGTCTGTAGATCTCACAGGCTCCTTATCCCAGAGATCAAGTATAAGAGGGTAGACACAGGAGGCACCGAAAAGCAAGATACAGTGGCAAAGAACTTACTGATTTTCTGATTTATTTATTTTTTACCCAAAGATAAAAGTCAACTCCAAGTAGACAACTGCTGACAACCTAAACCCTGAAGAAAATACATAACCTTCCTCCTTCCACTCCCAAGAAGGTGGGGAACATCAGTCTACATTATTAAATAAATGCTGTTCTATATTAATTTTTGAAGAACCAAGAAATTCTTAACAAAACATGCAGATCTTAACTGTTGTATACATACATACTGATATACTCTATATTATAGGAGTAATTTTAAAACAAACCTACCCTTTTTCCTGCATCTTAGAAGTAAACAAATAGCATTTTACTGGACTGTGTACTGTTTTGCAAATTGCTGGAAGCACTTCATATTTCTTTGTATTAAAAAAGCATTAAATAATCCAGCTCTTAAATTTGAGAAGAGAGAGTAATAAATCAAAAGCTAACTTAAGAGGCAGATCACCCTAAGGATATACTTACGCTTTAACTTGCACCTAAGGAAAGCAATCATTTTTCAAGCTAACAATACAATGGCTGTCAAAAGTTTCTAGTAAAACAACCAAATGATGCACCAAGCATAAAATAATTAAGTACCATAAGTTTTAAAGAAAGGATAAAAGCAGATTCTGAAAACTATTAAGGGTATGAAGATCTAGAATGTGCTACTGTAAGTTAACAATGTACTAACCCATTCCCATTTGTAAATGGGACTAGGATAAGCTACATGGGTAACGTTAACGTGGTCATTTCCCAACTGAGTGCTTAACTCTTCCATGCTCAATTTAAAAAATAAATAAATAAAGTAAGGCTTAAAAAGCGGATGCTATGAGGCTCCAGAAGTATAAGCAATATAAAATATGAACTTTTCTGACAGACTTGGCTTCCTCAGCACTGAAGACAGGAAGGAAGGGAAACAGAACAGAAAAAGGCACAGGTTTTTAATGCATGCTCTCTTGAATCAGCTTGATGATTACATAATTTTCACTTATTTAAGGACTGTTTTGCATGGCAAGAGTTCAAAAGTACACACAGAGAAAAAGACGCACAAAGAGAACATACATTTAATATCAATGTAGCCTTGACAGGGTACAGTTGCTTTCCTAGAAGAGCAGCATTTTCCTCTGAGCAACACTACTTGCTACATATTCCACTGGTATCTTACAGCACCGCGTTAAAATAACTTGTCATGTACCAAACTTGACAGTGGTATAGAGATCTTTGGGTTGCACCACTCACGACACACTGTGGGACCTATCAAGACCACTATAGAGACCTTTATCACAAGACATGGCTTCAGGGAAAACGGTCCCTGTCTGCTATCATGTCCAACAGTAAAACTAGACAAAGAGCATAATTCAGAACGTATCAACCATGGATAAGCTGCTAGAAGCAGCATTTCAGAACAGGACAGTACTGTGGAATTTTACTTTCATGACAAAGGAATACAGTATTTTACAAAAGAAAGAAGTCATGACAACTTGAACTGCAATAGAAAAAAAATAAATATAAGAAATAGCCTTAAATAAATAAAAAAATAATCAAAGGGCCTAGAAACTCCTCTTAAGAGTTCAAGCTTGTTAGCATCGTTTCAATGAAAAAACATGAAAAAGACCCATAGGTGACATAAGTAGTCTTAGCTCATTAATTTCAAGAGTCACGTGGAGTTCAATGAAAGGAGAATATGGTCCCACCTGTATCTCAGAACAGGTGCCAAACTTTATATGAATCCAAGGCTCCACAAAGATGATGTTGAAGTAAGTTTTACCTACAAAATAATTTGTATAGTATCCTTCCACCATCTGAAGCAATAGAAGCTGCCTAATTGTTCTTCATCTATAAAGTTAGTATTTTAGAAGAATATCCATCTGATCTACAGAATTTTGCATTTTCATGCTGCTGTTCCCAGTATGAGGTAGCATAATGCCTCTTTAATTTGAAAATTTGTTTCGTTCATTTGCATTTATTTGCTTTTGTTTGTTTATTTTTAAAATTTACTAGCAAGGTAGTACTGAGAAGAGAATAAATATTGTGGTGAACTCAAAAGAACTGAACTGCACCTTAAAAAGCCTGGCGAGTTTCTACCATTTGCAGCTTTCTTTAGTTTGTTGTATCATTGCTAAGCATAAATGAACAAATTCTTGGCTTCTACAAGTCATTTCAACACTATAACCCTAATGGCAGGAGAACACACTGGCTGGGGACTTAGCCTACTAATGAGATGCAGTAAGTGAACATAAAGAACATGAAATCATGTCTTGATTTTTGTGTTTTCTAGCAGTATAATTTATGTAATAAATACAAAGGCAGCCTCCTCAAAAGTCTTTGGAGTCAGCCTGGAACCCAGTCCCCAGGCTCAGGCTCATGGGCAGCCACTGATAGTGGCTCACTCTGTGAGTGTCATGGCAACCTCAGAAACTCTGTGCCCTCCTTGGTGTGTTTTTTGCACTAAGACCTTCCCGGCGCATACAGCTCCTTTCTGTGGGTTTTGTGGCTGCATCTTCCAAACAGCAGAAACACACTATTTTCTGGACTCAGTCAAAAAGAAATGGGGTTCTCACCATTCAATTTCATAATTTGTACTTCTATTCCCTGGAACTAAAGAAAAATTTAAATACATAAATTCCTCAAATGATACAAAATTCAGGTTCACCTCATCATACAGTAAGGAATAAGTGCTCAAATAGGAAACTACTGACATATGGATCTACTGACATAGACCCATAAAACCACATAAAATAAAAAAAATCTATTAAAGTAATATTATTAATATTATATTCCTAGAACTACAGGAAACATTTTCTTGAATTCACTTGTGTTAAAACAATCAAGATTAAAGCAATGGGCTGAGGTAAAATATCCACAGACAAAAAAGAAATTGTTCTCAAATCCCATTTTTCAAAACCCAATAAAAAGTAAAACCTGGTTTGGTCTTATCTCAGGCCTGTGCAAGGGCAACTGTTTACTGTGACCCTTGATTATAAACAATAAAGTTGAGTCATATTGATAGACATAAACAAAAATAACTGATGATACTTGCTCCAAAAATGGAGCAAGTTCAGGATTGATAAGTCATCAATATATCATATTTGTCTGGTTTTAAATCTTTCACCTCCTCTAATAATCCTCACCATTAAATTCTGGTTCTGTTCTTTTCCCAACTAGATGCTACCACAGTGCTAGTGACATAGTCCTGATATATTAAATGAAGGATTAGATGTAAATGAAAAATGGACATAAAATAGACATATTGTTCAGACTGTTAATAGGGGCATCTAAATTTCCGCTGATTAGAATACTGGTTAATTGCTTTAGGCATAAATCCCTGTCTTGGCCAGCCACTATGAAATATGACCTCAAAGGAAATATTCTGAAGTAATTACACTAGATTTACTAACATGGAAATCTTTTGGATATACAAATGACATGGCAGGAAAAAGCAAAGTGAGTCTGAAAACAACCAAAGCTTGGATGGACAGTAATGCTCAGCTTTTTTAATCAATTATGAAAATATGAATCTGGTCTCCAAATACCCTTCCTTGCAACATTATTTTGCTGACTGAAGTATTCAAGCAGCAACAACTCAGACAAGCAAACCCAGGGTGAGAATGGATCTTACAACTGCTATTAAGACATTTTCAACTTGGAAAGATGGTGATACAAGAGACAAACTGTCAAGAGAAGTCATTGAGACCTTTCAGTATCACACAAAAAACCCTGCAATGTGTGAATACCGAAGGGCTTACATTCTCTCATATAGATTTAGGGGGGAAAAAGGGAATGGTTTAAAAATTCTGTTAGCCAGATATGCTTTTTCAATTCCTTGAGGCCAAGCAGTTTTCAGTTCCTATTGTGCCTGTGTTATCCTTTGCTCCATGCTGTGTTGTTTCATGCATTACTAGAGAACCTTCCTGGACAGCAATTTATGCATCAGATTTCGTCACTAAAATATATTTATAAAGTTTAAAATGTATGATACTTTAAAATACATTAGAAAAATGTTTGAAGACTTAACACAGCACAGAAGCTGGCACTGGTCTTCAAATATCTACTTTACCTTCATGCAATACTTTCTATCAGAAGATCTTAAAACACACATTACCTCTCACACAAATGTTCTGAAAGAAACCCTGCTATTTTTCTGCACTTGCAGAAACACCACTACCTAGAGACTAAATGACTTCCCAAGGTTTGCCAAACAAGTGTACAGCACATTATATTGTTCATACTTGTATCATTACTTTCCCCTCTCTTTTGTACCAAAAGCACGAGTCAGGTGTGAAGAGTCACTAAGGCAGAGTCGATCAATAAGAGAAGAGACCCAAGCAGTGATGTTGGCAGTGAGAGAAAACCTAATCCTTCCCCTCTCCGCTTCATTAAAAAGAAAGCAAACCACCGTACAGAAACCTGAAGCAAACACCCTGCACATCAAGTAGTGAACTAAGTAATATAAAAAGCGTTCTGCTATTTCCAAAGGTTGCACGAGACAGTTAAAAGGAGAAGTAATACATACCAACTTCTGCACGGGATTCTGGAAATCCAGGTAGCTATGAACACCTGAAGTGATTAATAAT